CCTTCAGGGGAAATCCACATGGAACAGGCAAACATTGTGCTAGTCTCTTTAGGTGCAGCTCTCCCTGCAACAATGATCCCTTTGTACTGTAATGGGCCAAAATAAGACCTGGAAGTATTCCTTTTCCTATTTACTTTAACAAAGTGATCCATTTGCTGTAGAGTTTGTGTAATGAGAGCGACAATGTGCGGTGCACAGAAAAAAGGAGGTTACCAAAGTTACCCAAATGAAAATTCTTTTTAACATTAACAAGGACAAACAAGAAACTCAGACAAGATGATGCAGGTAGTTTCATCTGATCAGAAAAGACACACGACCAAGGCGTAAAATCCCTCTTTTGTTGTCTTCTCCTCTTCACACAAGCTACTGTCCAATTATTTCCTTCCCACAAACATCAAGGTTATTCAAGCACACATACTGTACATACATACAGCTGTACTGCTGTCACGATAGAAGGATGGATCATGTTTCTTCTTTGATCAACACCCTCACATCCACACATGTGGATATTCTGTTGAGCTTGACTGCTAATGGCTGTCAAGTTTCTTTGCCAGGATTCTTTACATTCAATCTTTTTGCTCTATAAAAAAGTTATTTTAGAGTTGTTACTCCTCCTCGGCAGGCTAAGTAAAGCTTAAAGGAACCAGAGATGTAATTCAGACAAATAAGCAGGTTTTATATAACAGTTGCCAGGCCAGGCATTATTGTGATGAATGGCTACAATGTGTGTGTTAAGGATGAGCTTGCTCACACTCACTTTTAATCTTACTGCCTTTGTGAAGGATTCTTTGCAGTTATTAAATGACAAGAATGACGCATCATTGCCGCTGGGAAAGAGGCTTTTAATCGATCTGTTTTTAGCAAACTGGATTTTTCTTCCACAAGCACATCCATTTATCGACAGATTCATACAATTGCATTATCCAAGAATCAGTACAGAAAAAAAAACACGCAGAGAAAGAATGACTCAACGGCAAACTTTCTCCCAGAAAAGCCATTCAATGAAACTCAGTAGCCATGGGAGGCCTCCACAAATGTTTCCAGCTTTTGTTACCCTCTGATTTATAGTCGGTCACTGTGTCCTTGAGGTGTTCATTTAGATTTCCCGCGAGCCAATGTGTGGGCTCTGTTGGGGCATTGTGTTGCTCAGAGTAAGCAGTTGATTTCGCTTTTATGGCCTTGTAATTGTCCTCCTAATTATGGACAACAAAGAGATGTGAGGTGGATGGTTGGGAATGGCTGGTTGTGTGCCAGAGGAGTAAGTAATAAGAAGGGGATGAACAGCCTCTGCGGTGTTAATGAGAGAGTCAAAGAGAGACACTTTATAGGAGATTGCAGAACTATGTGTGTGTAGCAGCTTTTCATTTATGTCCAGAGATATGTCATTTCCCCCAAATCAGGGACGTCAGGGAGTTTGTTTGATACACTCTTCAAGTGGACCATTTGTCATGAATATACCAGAATATACATCCCAAGTTGAGCCCCAAATTTCTGATATTAGATAGTAGATAAAGCTCTTTCTCTTTATAACAAACCACTGTGTATCTATGCCGATACAGCAATGGAGAGACAACCAGCTAGCCCTGTCGATAAACACATCCGCTGGAGGTCTGACTTTTACATCTACAGCCACATTTGAGCTTATGTCACAGATTTCATATTGTGTAAATCCTCAGTGGAGGTTTTGGAGACTTTGGGCTGGATGCTTCTTTGTTGGTAGTGGTCATTGGCATTCGAACACTGCTGGAGTGCAGCAGAGCACAGCAGCATGGCATACCGAGGGTGAATGTGAAACCGAGAGATGACGAATGAACTGAGAGCAGCTTCAATGATTGAGCAGGTGTCTATAAGGGAGTGAAGCTGGGTATCTGGTCCATAGACTATCATAATCTGAAGCAATGAATGTCTGGTCATTATGCATTCTTCTTTACTATATATCCAAAAATGTCACTTGATACCAAGCACTGATAATAAATACTTTTTTTGTTTTACTTAAAAATGAATCTTCACTATTTTTTAAGTGTTTCACTCACAAATCTCTGTCTCTGCAAAATGAAACTGAGTTCAAGTTCCTTTTGATACACACAAACACAATGGCCTCTCTGCTGCGATGGCACTGTATCAATATTATGTTCTCTCCACCCTGCTCTGTTCCTGTTTGCACAGCCCAGTAAATGTACCCACCTAGTAATCGCCAATGGAGGAAATTCCAGTCTGTGGTTTTCCTCTGCTCTGTCCCCGTCTCTCTTTGTAATTCACACGGACTTTTCACACTTGTTTGTCTTTCACAGACACACAAAGTGTCAAACCAACGTCACCCTCCGCTCATCTGCTGCAGTGTAGCAGAAGATACTTTTTCCACAGGAAGATCTGTAACCAGGCTTTCTCTTACTGTCCCTCGCTCTGTGAGTGCTGCTGTTTGTGTACCTACAACAACACACGCACACGCTTAAGTTCCTCTCTCATGCTCTGACCCCCTGAAACACTGGTTTCTGGATCAGTGCCAGCTTGAGTGTTCATGAGAGCCCTCATTTGCATGTACAAGCCATCTGGGAGAACAATAATTCCTTTCCCAGCATTCAGACATGCATGGGCCCTGCAGACATGAAAATACCATGCATACATACACACTTTCAGTTGTGCACAGGACACAAAGTCCTCCACAAAAGCCAAGGACGGATGCTTGCATCATCAGAAACTTTACGTCACTGAATTTTTTATCAAGCCTGTTTTATTACTTGACTGCCACCTGACGTTGAACAACAGTCTTATTTCATAACGTAGGTTTGAATCATGTGTCGCCGTGCCCTAATTCCTTCTTTTAGGCTGCATCATGTCCAGCCGGCGTTGGTGTTTTCTACGGAGTATCTTACTCTGTGCAGATGAGTCAGTAGAAAGAAATTGGGCTCGCAGGAAGGGAAGCTCGACTACTGAGATAAAGAAGACAGATGATAAAAGAAAGTGACAAGTGACGGACCAAAAGCAGCGCTTTATGAATACTCTCTGGGTCAGGATCTTGCTACAGAGCAACAGTGTTTCCGAGAATGGAGAGAATTAAATAAAAATAAGCTAGTGACGAGGTGACAGTGAGACGGGTATTGAAAAAAGGTCATAATAGTGGAGGAAGAGAGCGGCAGGTTTATTTTCTTTATTTTCTGTTTTTCTATATATTCTTTAGCTCGTTGAGTCAACTTTTTCTTTCTGTCCTTATTTCTTCACGGCTCTTTTTCACGATTTCAAAAAATGTGCTTCTTAGAAATCCTTGATGGGTGCCATTATTACTTTTACTATTATATACTATATAGAGATGTGACCTTCATTGTTTAAGGACTTTAGCAGCACATTTTTCTGCGTTATGCAGAATTTATTCCCAAACCAGGTAGCACTCTTTGTTCTGTATTACACGTCCCCAGTTGATTTAAATTTCTTAACAATTTGAAGATGCAAAGTCTGACACAATATTGCATTTTCTCTGTATCTTACTATAATGGTATATTTTAACAAGGAACGTATTCGCTGTGCTCAGTGCTAATGAGCTCGGGGGCCCTGAGAAACAACTTAAGCGGCATTAAACATCAACATTACTTTGAAACTCAGCAAAGCTTGTTGAAACTGTCAGTGTGGATGATATGTGATGTACAGTTTTAATGTGGGTCATGTCTCGCAGGGCTGCAGCTCAAGAGGTTTGCTGACTCAGGATAATTTAGCATTGTAGCATTCAGATTGAGGAGGATTTGTACTGCAGCAGGTTTGTGGTCCCACTTTTATGGTGTGCCGTTGGCAAGCGCGAATTTGCATGATTGAAGACAAATAAGATTTCTGAAGTGATTGTGATGGGAATTTTGTCACAATTGTTTGAGAGATTTCACACGATTGATAGATGGAAAAATAATCAGATGAATTGATTACATAAGTAATCGTTAGGTGTATGTAGAGCTACAACGTGATTTCATCCGAGTAGATCGAAAGACAGTTAATTAAAAGCTATTTATTTTGATTGGCTTCGTCTTTTAAGCAAAGACAAACCTGTTAACTTTCCATGAGATCTCAGGGTTAGTTGTGTCACACACTGTCAAATAGCCGAACACATTTCAAAGGATTTTATTTCGAATCGTTTGTGAAACCAAACAAATGTACTGTGTTCCTGTGTCAGGGATGCTGCTCGTTCAAACAGCCGGCTGAGTTCAGCAGAACCAGCGTGTGTTCTGTATCCCACAAAGACTTTACTGAGAAAGATTCCCCACTTGGAACACCTGCAGCTGTAGACCAATTAAAATCACCACCCACCACTCCCTGACCCATTTGTTTTGACTCGCACACACACACACTGACACCCACAATGATAACAGCTGGAGAGAGTGAAAGCAATCAATGAATAATTGATGATAATTGGCTCTACCCATTCATAATTCATACCCTCAATTATCACTAAGAGGCCCCACCTGAGTTTAGTGTGTGCGTGTGTTTTTGTGTACCCGATGGTGGACTGTCTTATATCACAGAATACATGCGTGCATGTCCCAGCTGCTGTGTTTGTTGCTGCTGTAATTTCAAATTTCATTAAATGTTTTGTAAGAGTTGTTGGAGGTTGTGCTGTAGACATGCTTTATCTCCTTCTGACACGCATAGTAGGTTATCAATGTGCCGTCTTCCAAAATGTTATCTCCCCTTGTAGCTGCACAAGCAGGAAACTCCTCTCTCCTGATAAGCGAATGGAGTACGTGCTCCACACTCAACACGCTCCCTTATCGAAGATGTCGTTTGGATGCAATCCCAGATTCTTACGCTATCGAACAAGAAGTTGTGATTCTAGATAGGCAATATTCAGCCATGCAACTTGTGTATTCATTTATCCTCCTCCACTCTTTTATATAGGTTGATGGAAAAGTAACTATAAAGTACCTAACTCTGCAAGGGTAAGATAACTGGCTCCAACGAAAGTAAAGAATTTCTCTTAATGTACATCTCCCCTCCTTTTCTTTCTCCACACTTTTCTGCAGATCACAACTCTGATCAACCATAAAGACAAGCCAAAGAAGTCTGAGCGTACCCAGGCAGCCATACACAGGGTGGGCCAGGCAGTGAGCGTGGCTGTGGGGCGCTTTGTCACCGTCGGGGAGGCCATCGCCACAGAGAACCAAGAGCTCAAGGATGAGATGGGTCAAGCCTGCTTCGAGGCACGCAGAGCAGGTAGGCCCCTTTTGCTCGCTCAGATTATGTACTCAACATTTCACCAAATTTCTGACCTTAAACTCAACACATTGTTGAGTGTTTCTCTTTTTCGGGCGAGATAGAGACGGCACTTATTTTGTGGTCGCACATTAATGTCGTAAATCTACGTGGTGCTTCATTCTAAAGACCTCCTCGTAGTGGAGACTGTGTCTTCCTGTCATAAGCATGGCCATGGTGTTCAGAAATTGCCATTGAGAGTGTTAGCTGGTCAGCCAACAAGACGTATCAGTGTTTATTTGTTAAGATAAACTGTGACAGTTTCTGAAAGCATCGGGTGTCACCGTCAGACTTCAGTGTTATTAAATTTGAGCACGTTTTGATTTGTCTGGACAGCCTGGCTGTCAGTCCGCATTACACCAGAGGACCTCCAGATTGTTCTAAAGACATTGTTGTTATTAGGTTGGAAGTAAAGGCTGAAACTCCAGGGTGCTGTGTAGGAGGAGGGAGTGAATGTGTCTGTGCTAGTTTGGAAAGCACTGCGTAGGTTATGGTAGAACGCTCCTGGAGACTTTATATATCAGGCTGTTGGCGAGCTTGAAGATGTTGTAGTTTTCCCGATGTTCACCACCTCATAGATTACTTCTGTGTTACAATGAGGATGTTTTTCTCCACTTGAGGTCAGGACCTCTCTTTTTTTTTTACTGGTTTTGAATCTGCTGGCTGGGCATGTCTGTGTGGAGTTTACATTTCTCCCCACGTCTGCATTTCTGCAGTTTCAATCCTATTCTAAAACATGCAGGTTAGGTGATAGACTGGCAACCCGTCCTCTCCTAATGTGCAAACCTGCAATGGTTATCAGTTTGATGTACAGTATATGGATATATCAAGGTTAAAACAGCAAACAACTGAGGGAAACAAAGAGGTACAGAGGATTGTACGAGGGGTGGAAACAGTGACAACCAGTGTGAAGGAACAAGAATGTGTGGATCACTCTTTCACAGCACTGTCAGCTTTTATTGAACCCAAGAAAGAAGAGGTGATGGTTTTTGTCAGGAATGTGTTTCTTTCAGTGTTTCTACACTTTCTTGTAACGTTTTGCCGTTAAACTTCTGTCTAAAAATACACACTCAAGACAAATGTCAACCGTGTATCTCCCTGTCTATCTAAACTCTCTTGTAATTCTCAGCTTAGATAGTTGACGCCACTTGCTTGGTGAAACACATCTTTCTATTGGGAAACGTAGTTCTTATCAGGCAAAACAAGGGCCCCTTTTAGCCTTCTACAGAGCAGACCAGAAACAATATCACAATTGATAAGAATTTAGACACAACACCGCGATAATAGGTTTATGTCGGGGGAACTAGCTCGTGTGGAAAAGCGTCTAATCCTCAGACAAAGAGAGTGCTGGTGGGAGGAGGCGAAAAGACTGATGAAAAAATGTGCGTGTGAATGTGTGTGTATAGGTGAGGCTAAGTGAAGTGTGTGTGTGTGTGTGTGTGTGTGTGTGTGTGTGTGTGTGTGTGGTAGTGTGTGTGCTTGTGCAAATGTGTGGATGTCTGAGCCCACTGCGACTAATTTATTCTAGTTCTTATTTTCCTCTTAGGGAGGCGTTTTCCCTTACACTTCTCCTGACAGACACTACACAACTGTTCCCTGAATTGAAAAAAAAGAAAGAAACTTTTTGTCTCTCGGACCACTTTTTAAATATGACGGAGATATCTTCAAGGATGAAAAAATGAGGCTTTTTGGAGGCTTTAAGTCTCCAGGAGAGAGAGGGCTAGTTAGTGAAGGATTGGTGTTTCTCTAATACCTAGCCACAGGGAGAGTTTAATCAAGCAGGCTTCAGCCTCGTGTGCTATAATGAATGAAATAAAAGCAGGTTGAAAGCTCTAGTTTAATTAGATGCTACCCATCATCAGAGCGATGGAGAGATGCAATGAGGCAGGTCAGTGAAGGCGATCGGTGTTGGATCTCCGTCTCTGTCTCTTCCACTGAGTCTCTCAGTGTCATTCTCACATCTGCGTGCTTCTGTCTCACTTTTCCTTTCTTTCTCAGAAAGATTCAACATAAGATGGTAGTTAGGATCGAATAAAGTCATAGCAGGTACAATATGTGAGTGTGTAGATACAGGACCACCGGTGCAGGACAATAAGTTGGTAAAAAAGGGTATTGTTGACAACTGAAGGACCAGAGGGATAGCTCTGTTTTACATTTAAGGTCATGAATATATCCATCTTCCATACCGTCCATAATCATTTAGAGAGGAGAGTTGGCTCCTTCTGCTTTCCACCCTGCTAGTGTCATGGGGGTTGAGCAGCATTGTTTGCGAGCCCAGCCTCGATGTTTTAACTGGTTAACAGAGCTGGCACTGAAAAGTAGCCTGTCAAATGCAATCAGTTCGTCAGTGCTGCTTCTTAGGACCAGCCAAACCAAATAGACAGCCAAGCAGCATGACCCGATTTTACTGAGAGATTCCCCCTCCTCTTCCCACTCGCTCTTAAGTCTAGACATTTTCCTCTTGATAGGGACTATTTTACTGATGGGATTTTAGCTTAAAAAACTCTGTATTCTTCCCTCTTTGGGGCTAGTATGAGCAGCTGAGAAAGAGAGAAAAGGGAAAGTTGGACTCTGAATGAATATTTATCATTTGCATATTTCATGCAAGAGCAAATTCATGCTTGGCATGTTTGCGAATTGTATTTGAGGGCTCACGTCACTCAGAAAGCATGCCAGTAGTGTTTGGGTCAGGCTGGCCTAGCTGTCATACAACTGTGCCGAATATAGAGTTTCATCCTGTGTAGGACCATACGTTCTCCCAGAGGTGAAGAGTGTCTGGCTTAATTTTGAGGGCATATCAATTGGCCTCCCATCTTTTCATCTTCTGCCTCTTGTCTGGGTCCAGATCTCAGTGGCAGCAGGCATAGCAGAGAAGCCAAAAGGTCTTTCTGGCCAGTCACATCCTCCAGCTCTTCAGAGGGAATCCCAGGGCGCTCTCAGGCCAGATGGGATATGTAAACCCTCCAGCATGTTCTGGGTCGGCCTCCCCAACTGGACATTTCCTGAATCATCTGACAGGCAGATAGAAAAGCCTCATAAACTGTCTAGCTCAATACAATCAAAATATGCATAAGCCTAGAAATAATGTTGTATGAATGTCCACTTACAGTGTTTTAGTTGTCATGTGTGTTCCCAGTGAGCTCCACACTTTGAGGAAGCTTTGTATAGATTTTAAATTTTGGGGAAAAAAGAACACTGGATTGGGATCAGTACTCCGTATCGGCAGTTAACGAGAGTGTATGTAAATTAAAAGCATTTGCAGGAGGGAAAAAGTCGGATCCCTATACACACACATACTATATCAGCCTGAGCAGTTTATCACTCCAGCTCTGCTGTTGAATCAAACAGTAGCCTTCTCTCCTGTCTTGTAGGTGATGCCATAGCCCAGCTGACAGATGTGGGATCAGCCTTGCCGTCCCAGTCAGACGGACTTGTCACAGTGTTCAGTGATAGGACGGGGATGGTGAAGGCTGCCCGCTTGCTCCTCTCTTCAGTCACTAAAGTCCTGGTCCTGGCTGACCGCATCGTCATCAAACAGATAATCACATCACGCAACAAGGTGAGACATGCAAACGTGAGATGTGATAACCTTTTAAGGACATGCATAAGCTCTCTTGCTTAGTCTCTCTTGCACACACACATGCACCTCAGCAAACTCCATCCTGAGTCCTGTATTTCCTAATAGATAAGCTCTGGCTCTCTGAAGAAGTACTCGGGAGGTAATTGAAGGGAGCAGCACATTTAGCGATCACATAAAAACACAGAGCAAGAAGCTGTCCCTCTTCATAGTACCTGGCTATGCTCTTAGCCAGACAATGTGATATGGATGTAGCTGTAGACTGAGCCAAGAATGGAAACAGGGGGCCTAATCACGACTGGTTAGCCTCGTTGGAACAGACAGTCGACAGCCCCCTGCCCCCCTCCATTACTGGCAAACACAATTACATCTCCTCCTTCCTCTTTGTCTGGGGAGAATAAAAGATGCTGCATTAGCGCTGCCAGCTAGCCTATACCCTCGGCAGCTAAATTAGCAGCTGCATAGACTACTATTAAGTAAAATGCAGGTTAGAAACTACTTAATCTGGTGGTTTTATTTTAGGAGATCACAGATCTAATTACATCACATTGAGCTGTTAATACTACAAAAGGGAGATCTGGAGTAACACAGAAATAGGATATAAAATATGGAATATTGAAATAAATCGCAGTCAAATAACTTGTATTCTTGGTTCTGTTGAAAGGTAAAGCTTCAGTCTTGGGGTATGAATAGATCTGAAATAGGTTGTTAGAGTGTGGACGGATTTCAAGAACACGACCATTTGTGGCCGGCCATTCACCGTGGCACTCTGATCTTTTCACTCCTCTCAGGTGCTGGTTACCCTCGACCATCTGGAAAGAGTCAGCACCTTCCAGGAATTTGTACAGATTTTTAGCCAGTTTGGCAACGAGATGGTGGAGTTTGCCCATCTTACCGGAGACAGACAGAACGTGAGTAGCATGTGAAGAAACTAAATCTCTTCAGTTTTAAGTGCGAGTGTGAAAATCATCAGCGCACTGTAACATTCTTTCAATGAATGAAATAAATATGTGGTCTCACATATGAAAATTGTGTTCATGAACATGTAGTTATTTGCCTATTCATTTCTGCAACACAGAGGACATTTCGTTTATTCATGCAGATGTAATCTTCTAACAAGCCGTGGTTCTTCTGAACATGGTGATCTGAATGTGAAAGCAGGTGGTGGAAGTGGACTGTGAAACCTGCAGCTCTTACACTGTGAATGTGCAGGCAAACCCAGAACAAATAAATAATTCAGGCATCAAATATTTACTCCTCCCAGAAATCTAAAAAAATCAAACAATGAAGTAACAAGGCTTCGTCAGGCTTCTCATATTTCTGCAAATATTTCTTTCCGTATCTTTTAATTTTTTCTAACTCATGTCTCAATCCATAGCAGAAATGTAAAGGTAAAGGTTTACATTACGATTCATTGTTGATAATAATTGACCTATGCTTTCAGCGATCCCTTCTCTCAGCAATATATCAGCTTAGGCTACAGCACATTTGCAAAACAAAACTTCTGCCTAGAGCTTTAGAAAAACCGTCCAACTTAGGGTCTTTAACTTTGTTCTGTCAAAGACTGCTAATCCTTCTTTGATGCACACGTTCAGCCTCTGCAGCTAAAGTGCTTTGCCTGCAGAAGCTGATGTAAAGTGCGCCGGTTGCAATATCTAGACAGGGAGAGAGGATCGACCATCCCTCTTTCTGGATTTCTTCGGACGCATGTGTTTTGAAACACATGTAACGTCTCTCACCAATGCAGCTACTGCTCCCTTTCCTCATGTGCCACCCTGTTTTCTTTATCTTTTTTTGTTGTATTCACTCGCATGCACAAGCATGCACAAGCACTCAGCTCTTTAGAAAATCTACCATCTTCTACTATTAAAGCCAGATGAGCACAGAGGCAAAAATAATGACAGATAATCACATCGTCTTTGTGATCTATGGCACAGTTAATGGGAGAGGAGTTGATTCAGCTGCCTTTTCCAAATACCAAATTGAAGCTGTCTATTTCTATTTGGAGTACATGGATGGGGATGCAGCAGGTCATACACCCTGCATCTTCTTTCCTATACTCGTAGTATCTCTTTTTTATTAGGAGATAATTAACCTAGGAAGTTTTCATGTGTGTGTAAACTTGGAGAGGAATCTGTGTCTCTTCATACCAGCATGAAAGAGATTTGTTGCTTACTTTTGAGGCTTTATGTCCCTTGGACACCCAGAGAGTTCTCAGAAGTTACAACTGAAGTAAAGCCACCCATCACCATCTGGTGTGTGTGTGTTTGTGCTGTAGGACTTGAAGGATGAGAAGAAGAAAGCACGGATGGCAGCAGCCAGAGCAGTGCTGGAGAAATGCACCATGATGCTCCTCACGGCTTCCAAGGTAAACAGCGTGTGCACCGACAGTGGACCTCTGGGCGAGGGTTATAGATTATGTCCAGTTTAAAGATGTATGGCCTTCTCACATTTATTTAATTTCAAGTTTTCTCAAATACTGCGATCAATGGATAATGCACGAAACCCAATGCCACAATATCATAAAGAACACCAAAAGAGAGTGAATAATCATGGTGGTAAAACATGAAAAGGGCTAGAAGTTGAAGAGAGTAAAGGAAGGCATGAGCTTTGACATTTCGCATCGAATTCCTTCCAAAGACCTGCCTGAGGCACCCAGATTGCGAGTCGGCGCGGATCAACAAGGACGCGGTGTTCCACCGGATGCGCTGTGCCCTGGAGCAGGTCATCGAGATAGTCACCGAGGCACGGAGCTGTGGGGAGAACAAGATCCTTCCTGTCAGCATCTATAACGGCATCAAGGACTTCAAGGTAGGGTGAAGGTGTCCTTTTCAAAAAGAAGGCAGTAACATAATCTGCTTGTATTAATAAGAAAGACCGTCGTTTTCAACAAGAATCCTCAAATGATCTAAATGTGACTCTTATGTGGCTGTTGATTTGTGGTTTAAGTGTAAACATTTTAGCATTCACTGTGCTTCAAATGTAACTCAGAGAATCAATATGTAGGACCAGACCTACTCTGTATCTGTTTTATGATCTGGTTAATACGGTTGTGTCAATCCCCATAAACCTGAGTCTCATCTTCTTTCTCCTCCTTGTTCACTGGCCAATGAAAGAAAAACAACATCAAAGAAGGTTTTGAATGGGTCTTTTCCAGTTTGCGGTATTTTAATGAAAGGGCCCAGAGATGTGTATTGGTTTTAATAAATGGCTTCTTAGCTCTTAATGTCAGAGTTAAGCTAAAAGCTTACGCAAACCTGTCATCTTAGGACACATAAACAGAGACCGTTAAAAATAGATTTTTGAAAGAAAAGAGAAGGATGAAACAGAGAGAAGTGCTTTAGCTTTCATGTTTGTGTACTTGAGATGTTGTTTGCAGTATTTATTGTCCACCTTTGATGGTCCAAGGTGACTCCCGGGCTAAACCCGCGTCCCATTTACTTGATGACGAGGTCATGTGCATAATGATAATGAGATAATAAACGACGGCTTTTTTTTCACCTCAGAACATTGGCTCGTAAAACTCTTGTGTGTGTTGCCACCTCCATGTGCTCCCTAATTCCCAACCCTCCTCCTCCTCCTCCCCTCCTGCAGTCCAGCGTGCAGTGCCTGCGGGAGAACCTGAACTCCTTGTCCCCCCAGAGCGTGGGCAGCCAGCTGGAGGCGCTGGTGGAGCGGACAGAGGACTTCACAGATTCGGCCTACACCAGCCACGAGCAGCGGCAGGCCATCCTAGGTCTGTGCCAGCTGGCGCGCCAGGACACTCAGCAGCTGGTGCAATCCTGGGCTGAGGCGGTATGTTGGCACTTGCACAGATGCTCATACACCTACGGAAATATTCATGAAAAATATATGCTACTATATGAAGAAGAATAATAAGTACCTCATATGTAAGACACTTGTAAAAGTATGATAATGAGATGCAAAACAAGAAGAGATGTTGGTTGGAATACTTGTGTTAGTGTAAGGAATGATGTTGAGTTGGTAAGTTTATAAACTAAATTTAATATTTAATATCTTGTTTGTGCCTTTTCATATAGCAGACAGTGTCTGTTCAACACACACACAGCATGCTACACAGGCCGTCACACATTAAGACTCCCTCCCCGGCTCATCTAGTCATTCTTCTTGCCTACTCACTTTCTTTTCATACATCCCTCCCGGTACAACTGAGCATAATAACCAACCTGAATACCCGTTTTTACCAAGGCTCATTCAGTTGAGAGAGAAACATCACGTAGTGTCCCGCGGTTTGTCTCCTTGCCCTTCGAAATTGAAACACAAGTCGTTATGTTTCAGTTTCTCATTGTACATTTTTTCAGCGTGTTCAGAGCGGACAAAGAGACTGCTGCCACGTAGTTGTACAGTAGTGCCTCATCTAGCCTCTGCAAAAGAAGGTCAGCAGGAGAATTGAAAAGACCAGAACACTGTGGGGTTTTGAAATTGCAGCGAACGCATCTGAGTGTGTAAATATTCTTGGGTATTCTGCACAGTCCAGTTTGTGGTCTTGCTTCTTATCGTTGAAAGCGAAATATATAGTTTTCATTCCAATTGGATTTATGACTCTGGAAGTATGACATTTTGAAAAATGTTGTACAATATTTGAATAAAATAATTAATTACAAAAGCTTTTTTTTGCATATTCGGAGCATAACTGGTCACAAATGTAACTGGAAAGTCAAAAACCATGTTAATAAGAGCCCAAGTTCATTTTCCAATCCAGTTGTTTTCTATTGTCAAACTCTTCCAGACATAATAATGTAGGTTTGTGTGTGGGCCTGTAAGACCATGTTGAATCTCATGTTGTATTCCCTTCTTCCACTCTCCGTCGCACTGGAGCAGCAGTCTGTCCATGCCAAAGAAGCCACAGAGGACATGGAGGTGGCCATCCTGAAGACATGCCAGAGCGTCAGTGACCTCAGACGCGAGGTGAGCAGCAGTCTCTCTCTGCTCTGCCCGTCTGCCCTCTGAGTCTGAATAGATGTACAGAGAGACACAGACATGACTGAGATGTCTCTCACTAGATGTTCTGCCTCTGTGGTTGGTTTCCCACTTTCCTTTTTCACATCGCTCTTTGGCTTACCTGTCGTCTATCCGTCAACTCAACTATGTCATTGTGTCCCCTCTGCTCCTCTTTTTTTTTTCTTTGCCTCCTTAAATTCCACCCTCATTCATGTCTCCCCACTCATCTTTCTTTCGTTTGTGTTTGCTGCAGCCTCCATAACTCTGTCCTTTTTTGATTCTGCAATTTAATTTTTGATTCCTCCTCCAGCTCCATAAGGTGGCAGTCATTCGTGCCTCTGACTTGCTCAAAGTTCATGGGGAGCAGTTGCCTCTCCAGGCTCTCAAAGCTGCAGGCGCCGAGGGAAACCTGGAGGCAGTGGCGGAGTATTCACGCACACTCACTGAGCAGAAGGAGCAGCTGGTGGAGGTAGGTAGGGGTGGGGGCAAAGGGAGCAGGGAGGCAGGGGGAGGTTTGATGTAGTGCCACCTAGTAAAGGTGTTCAACGGGCAAACGATACACTAGAGGAAATCTTTTGTGAAGTTTAAGGATTCGTGGGCAGAATTTTAAGAGAAAAAGCTAGTTGGCCATGATTTGCAAAGTTGCAAAAAACACATTGAAATTGCTGTGCAAGTAAACACAAACAGCCTGAAATGAATGAATTTGGAGACTACGTTTCTAATCCTCAACCAAATGAAAGTCCACATGTGACTTTGTTATGCAAACACTTTGTTACGTCTTTGTTAGGGGCCCTAACAAACAGAACATACGGTACAGTATGAAGAAATACATTAAGAGGAAGGTATACTCTTTGGAAAATAATATAAATTTACAAAAAATGATTGTGTTCTTTTAAGTAAGTGTTAAATTGTTAGAAATACACGGAGTTAGAACATTTATCCATTTCCTACAGTGTGACTTTAAAACTGACCTTTTTTTGTCCTGCGTCTCTGACTTCAGAATTGTCGGCTACTGTGCCATGTGTCGGGGACAGAGCCTCTGGAGATTACCTGCATACACGCTGAGGAGACCTTCCATGTCATTGGTCCACAGGTAACAGCCAAACATGTTCTGTCGGGACCTTTGTTTTTGTTAGATTTGATATTATAACTCATTGACTGGCCAAAAACCCGGGGAGACAGGATCCCTGTAGAAAGGGACACAGGTTAGGGTTAAACCTGAAACCCATTTCATCTGATTCAACTGCATGCCAGTTCAATCAAACTGGTCACACAGTGGTCTGGGAGTGAAATCAAAAACTGAGTAATATTCTACTTAGACATAGTGGGGAGGGAAAATAGACAAATTACCTCATGTCTCCTCAGTCTACCTCCTACACCTGAGAACATGTTGTTCACCTAGTCCACTATCTAATTATGTTTGCTCTTGGAAACCATCCATGCCAGTATTTATCCAGCAATGTAGAATGTTCCCGTCCTGCGGTACGAACGTCAGGCCCCGCATGACTCTGCAGCACTCCTAGTTCAAAGGTCAACCAATCAATAACACTGCAGCATGGGGTGGCGGGGGGATACGCGTCTGTGTCGGCCCAAAGTAATAGAGGGGTGGCCCAGAGGGTAATTGGCTATTAAATACTACACTGTAGGGGAAGGCTGCGGGATGTGTGTTTTTGTGTGTGCGTGTGCGTGTGAGCGTTTGTTTTTTAAAGTTGTTATAATGCTGTCTTGCCGTGGTGGTGGTGTTGATTAAAGAAGAACCAAGTGAACTGTAGCCCGCTTATATAAGCCACAGCCCAGAGAGATGGGACATATTAATGACTTGGTTTAGTTATTGTCTGTTGTTAGTTCCTGTATTAAATAACGGTTTGAAACGGATAGCAGCCTCTAGTCTTGTGTTTTGAATTTCTGTCACAGTCTGGGAAGCAGTCACAGGGGATGGACCCAAATTCAGACACAGACGAGGAGCCAGCAGTAGCAATGTAATGATTTAATTCCAAACTGCTTGCAAGTTGGAATCCAATTTAACAGACAGGAAACAGCAGGCAAGGACACAGACAAACTGGTACAGAATTACGAACAAAACTGAAGACAAACCAACAAAGAACAAAGGAACTGGGCTGGTATAAATGAAGACTGAGTAATGTGGAAGTGGGAACAGGTGAGGCGCAGCACAGGCGACTACAGGGCTGAGGAGAGTCAGGTGAAACAAATGAGGGCGGAGCAGACAATCACAAAGGCGGGAAAACATAAAAGGACCCAAAGTAAAACAAGACAAGACGCATGAGGAGTACACTTCAAAATAAAAGCAGGAAACACTAAACCTGACCCAACAGAAGACCCAAAACACAAATATAAATGCAACACAGTCCAGTCTCACATGACAAATGTGAGAGCATGAGCCAGACTGCGACAATTTCACTAGTAGGAAGACCATTTGGTGTATTTTTGATCAACAGTGGCAGCTGATGAGTTTAGAATTATAAGCCACATTTTGTTTCTGTCTTTTACTTTAATTGCATAGTTTTTCTCTCTAGTTACTGACCAGCTTTATTTCAATATAGCTTTTCTCATGTCGCAATTCTTCACACACTTCCCACTCAGATCATCTCGGCAGCCCAGACGCTGGCCCTCCACCCGTCCAGTAAGATTGCTAAGGAGAACCTGGAGGTGTTCTGCGAGGCCTGGGATTCGCAGCTCTGTGACATGGCCCTGCTGCTGAGAGAGATCAACGACGTCTTTGAAGGCAGGCGAGGTGCGTTTTTTTTGTTTAGTTGGTAATGGATACTTGTGTGCCTTTGTGCGGGTCAGCAGCACATACATCAGAGAGGATCAGAGAGTCTTTCAGGGAGAGTGCGACGCAGAAGAGAATACAGGCACAAAATATGCTCTCAATGGCATTTTAGCCTTAAAAGAATAACGTTCTCTGATAAAAAACCTTGGTGATCATTTTGCCCCTGACAACACTTCAATAGCCTTTTTATTTTAGCAAAGCAAGCACATCTCTTTTAAAAATGTAACATCATACACTGTGGGAAGCATTTTGTAAGAGGAAAAATGTCAATGCCATTAACCACCCATGCATTCATTCCTCCTCTGTACTCCCTCTCTCTTATTCATTAAAGTGTTCAAATGATGGGCTCTTCAATCAGTTGTTCGTTGCCTCTGTGACTGTGTGTGTGTATTTGCATCGACTTTACTATGTATCCATGTACACACAGATCTATGTTTGTATCAACCCTGTGCTCTCACACACGGTAAGCCGGAGGAATCTCAAAGACAGGAGAAAGATGTTTTGGAATATATCCACGAGGTGGTTGCCCTCAAGAATGTGACTTACATAAAACAATATTTTTAAGTGCAGCTCAGCGGGTAAAAGGATCAAATCCGTCACACATTTGTGTTCCCGAGAAGCCCAAATGCTTTGTTAAAGTGTTGTATTGACACTGTGGAGAGATTTGGTTTTATTATTTTTGTGTAATCTTCCCCCATAAACATGACAGAAGAGTTTTATTGTCCCTGTAAATTTATATAAATAAATATAATAATTATTAATAAATATTGAAATGAACCAAGCAGCTTGTGTTTATGATGAAAGATAAAAATGTTTTAAGGGTGGACAGTGATAAAAGCAAAACAATTTCAGTACCATAACTACTGAATAACCATAATTAACACCCTAATTGTCTGTGTCAAAGATATTGACTTTTAATATATTTAAAACTGCGCCGGCGACAGCGTTACATCCCATTCTTGTGAACGCGATCTCCCAGGAACGTCTGGAGAGAATTTCTTCAAATTTGGCACAAACACCCACTTGGACTCAAAGATGAACTTCTTAAAATTTGGTGGTCAAAGGTCACTGTGACCTCACAAAACACGTTTTTTTTTTTTTTTGCCATTGTTTAAGCTGCATATGCTAATTATGACAAGTCTACACAAATGTTTAGTAAGATAAAATTATGAAGTTTTGGACAGACATGGCTGTAAACTTGGGGCTATCTCTTAGATGGCTTTGTTAGTCCTTACTTGTTACCATGTGTTCAGATAATCACAATTACTTTCTTCTTCTAGGAGACAAAAGATCTTATTTGTCACTTCCCAGACCCGGAGTGAGTATCACAACATCCGTCCTCATGAATATTCCATTGATCCGATGTTTTGTAATCCTCTTATTAATACCACTCTCTTTACCCGCAGAAACACTCGGCTAACTTGAAGACTGCCAAGGCTGTCAAGTTGGACGCAGAGGTAGCACACACACCATACTCCTCTAGCTTTCTGCACAATACATCACGACACGTCTGACAGCAGTATATTCATCTCCCGGAAACTTTGTGCCACTCGTTTGAAGGATTGATGGTGTTCGTATGCTAATAGGCTGCGTTTTTTTTTTTTGCTGGGCCGGCAGTTTTTCACATGCTGTACCACCACAGGAAGCGGGATTATGCTGATTGTAGAATTTATGGTGTTAACAAATGAAAATACCCTGTTTGCTAATATACATTTCTGAAATGACATCCGTCATATTTCTTTGTGTCCTTCTTGTGTGCGTGCAGGAGCAGACAAGCATGGCCAAGCTGGGTCTGGAGCTCCGTCTGCTGTCGTCAGACGTGGACACGGAGGTGGAGAAATGGGAGGAGCAGGAACACGACATTGTCCGACAGAGCCAGAGCCTGGCCAGTATGGCATACAACATGTATCTGTTCACCAGGTGACCGAACGGCACCACATACGACCCGAACATTCACATGCTCCGATGGCTTTCATTTCAGAGCTCTATATGGTAAAGCCTCTTAAGCATACCACATGGATCTCTTTAGAGGCTTACCGTTAATGAGATTCTTGAGCCGCCAGCTATCGATATTCACCAGGCATAATTAGAGGCACTGACAAAGTTGACATGACAATGATTGATTTTGACAATTCAATTATTTCGATTTATCTAAGTCACAGTTTTTGTTGGTTGCTGTAGATGTATTTAGTCTTCATCCATTTCTTTCATCCATGATTCCTCTCCTCATTTTCTTTTTCCCATGTTGATTCCCTAGAGGGGAGGGGCTGCTGAAAACAACACTAGACCTTTTTCATCAAGCTGAGGTATGTGTATCCATATCCGCTAATCTCTCCTTCTCTCCACCTTCTGTTCTTTTTTCCTCTCGTTTTATCGAAGTTGCAAATGAATGCATCTGTTGTTTTATTTAGTCAAAGACATACTGTGGCAGGCAGATCAATAGATTAGTAAATGCCAGCATCCCCTCGTTCACTTCCCCCTCGCATCTGATGGGGCGAGACTAGTAGGACTTATCATTATGATGGAAATATAGTGCTGTGTGTTCCTGGCCACGTCGGACACATGAGGTGATAACAGACAAAGTTGCGTGGAGGCGAGTCTCTATTGAATTGGGAATGTTCAGTAATTTGTAGAATCTGCGTTGAAAATGCAGCCAGGATCTATTTCATTTGGGGTGAGCGAGGGAGATAAGAGAGGAAGAGGAACGGGAGGGATGAAAGACGGGAAGGCATGCTGATAAGAAGAGCCGAGGAAAAGTAGACTGTCATTTTTTGCTCTTTTTTAAAAAACTTTTGAACGGCTTTCTGTTGGATGCTAAAATAATTAGAGTTTTGCCTGTATTGGTGTACGTTTTCAGATTTTTGTCCATTTTCTGTCTCATTTTTAAGGTTCTGTCTGAAGAGGGGCTCCAGCTGTGCTCATCTCTCCTCTCTTTTTCCACTCAGGTAAACACCGATGCAATAAATCTCTCTCTCTTGAACACACACAGTTTAAGGCCGAATACCAAATCACGATGTACTCGCATAAAAACCATTTGCAAATGTTTTTGCACATTAAGCACTATCAAAATAAATCGAATGTGAGTTATGTAAAAGTAAGAATATTTGTAAAAGCAGCAATGAAATGATTGCAGTAGAACATAAAAACAATATATATGTTTGTGTACCATATGTTCTTGCTTCTCTGCTGGAATCTGACAAAAGAATAGTGATATGAAGCTCAGTCAGTACACACGTTAAAGACTAAAGCCAAAGAGAAAAGAAAACTGTTCATTTTCTTTTGCATTTGAGCTGCTGACCCATCTGTATGCCCCACCCTCGTTACGCCTCTCATACACATACACACCCGTATCACCTATTCTGGCATGCCACGGTGCCAGGTTCGCCTTATAAATCACACAGCAAGAGCAGGAAATTAAGGCTGTCACACACTTTCACCGTCCTCTTTCCCTCTCTGAGTGGAGATCCAACAAACAAACGTAGCCTCGGTGCCTTCCTTCCTCTTGCCCTCCACCAACTTCTTCCACAGGTCCTCCAAGTGTAATTAAATGGCTCTTTTTGACAGCCGTTAACGACTGCAATTTGTCACTGCCGGGTCCGTGGGTGGTTATGTTTGTGCACATGTGCATGTGTGGAGGAGATCAGGGTGGGGGAGTTGACTGTTACCGCACAGGACTAATTCATAATCAGGAGGCCCAGCTCTTCAACTTGCCTCACGCTTTCCGATTAATTACATCAAAAAAACTGGTGCTAATGGAGTCCCTGTGTCTCACCCTCCACTCCCATAGTTCTTCGGCACCAAACACACATCTACGTTGGCTTCATTCAAAAATGTTGAGGCTGTTTATGCAAATTAGCTTGAGCATTTCTTTGTAATTGAGGTTTAAGAGGTTTTATATACTTCTGTCTGTCATGAGTATTGCTACGCTGAATAAAAGAGCCTGTGTTTTTAGGTCGCTGGTGGTGTAACAGAAATAGATTGATGGCCCCCGTGACTGAGATGGAGGGATTAACCCAGCTGGATAACAGACTTAAGCAGTAGATCATGACCTGGCTGTTGCTGATGGATTACATCAAGCTACACTAAATCTGAATGTATTTCACCCTCGTTTTTGGCTTTTTGTGATGTTTGATTTGTGTTTGAATGAGAGCACTAGTAAACCCAGTCCAGTACATCTATCAGTGGCTGTACACATCAACCCAGTGTCTCTGGATAAACCTGGACATACCATCATAAACCATCTCTCCCTCTGTTTCTGTCTTCATCTCTGTTCCAGCTAGTTGATGAGGAAAAGTCTGTGGTGATGACAGAGATGGAGAAAATGGTGGCATTATGCCAACAGCTGCAGATGGGAGCCAAGACTCCTGTACAGGGCAAGACTGCCACCTTCCAGAAGGTACTCATACTACGCTTGCGTGTCTTTATCTTTTTCTGTGTTTGTTTGGGTGTATACTTAAATAATAAATAAACAGTGACTTCTTTCTGCCCCTAGTCTGTTTTGTTTAGAAGAAATCAAATTAGACGGAGTGTGCAGAGCAGACTTACTGCTGTTTTTTTTCTTAAAGGGATAATTAGCTTGAAAAAGCATCACAACTACATCCCCAACAACAGACGGGCCTCAATGAAGCCCTATGCTCAGTGAACACACAATCGAGCGTGACTTAGTGCGTTACTTCATTTTTGGCCACGGCATAATATTTTAGTGATCTGCGAGTAACACCATTATCGGACGCAGGGCGTTAGATTAATGAATGTCTGTGGGGAATTAATGAGCATCTTGGGCAGGGATGAGCTGCCTCAGGTCACCTTGTAATAAAGGCCAAGGTTGTAATCAAAAGGACGGGATAAAGAATCGCTTGTCCATTGCTGATTTATGAGCATCTCTTTGGCTCCCATCTCTGTCTCTTCATCCTGATGTTCACTTTATCATTCGTCTCGAATGGAAGAATGTGTTCAGGGTTATATTCTGATGTACGTGTGTTGGCTGTTGGGTTTTAAGGTTTGTGTGCATTTGTATCCATGCTACCCCTCTTCAACTAGTGTATAATAATTGTATTTCTTTGCCTCTAGGTGGACTCATCCATTCAGACAACCAGAGGTATCTTGACTGTGGTTCTCTCCCTTCTACCGTCCTGCAACAAGCTCACCAGAAAGGTGATTAAACAGGACTCATGACTTAGTGACTGGCACTTGTAGTAGCCTAGCAAGCTACATGGAAATCCACTAAAAGAGAAAGAGCTCAGAAACATTTATGTAGGCCTAGAAAATAAGATTAAACTTGCAATAACTCATTTTAAGGCCACTTAGGGGCAGTGGAAGCTCGCTTTAAACACAACATGGACATATACCACCTTTAGTTGATATGGTCAACTTGTAAGCAAACAGTTGCCTATTTACACATCCAACAGATAGAATGCAACATTAGCATTCATTTGGATTTGTGTTTCTGGCCACTTGGCAAATGTTAGTCCAATATTGACGAGCCACTTAGCTGTTTTTGGTCTCCACCAACAAAGCTTACGGAACTACACTTAGTCCATCAATAAGTTCGTCCACTATAAATATGAAACATTCATTATAGTAGCTTTAATTATATTTAACAGCTGAAAGTGCCGTCATTCTATTCTCTTAATTTTTTGCGTATATAAAACAGCAAAAAAACATACTTCATTTCTCATCATATCTTGTTTCTTTCCATTCATTTCTTCTCCTTGCCGTGTCCATTTGCAGTACAAATCAGAGAGGAGTAGCCTGGGTTCCCCGCAGGACTGGAGAGAGAGGCCGGATGCATCCACACCTGTCAAAGAGGAGGGAGCTCTTAACAACAAGAACACCAACGGCTTTGGTGCCAAATCTCTGGAGCAACACATGGCCGGTCTTAACCTCCTTGAGAGCAAATAACCCAGAGAAAGGTCCTTTGTCCCCTATTCTCCCTTGGAGCAGCACATAGCTAACCTCCCCTTTCTGGAGAACATCTATTCCAGGAAGTACTTTACTCCCCTCATCCTCATGCACCCATCAATGAGTGGGCTAGAGCAGTGTATGTGGTGAAGATGGATGCCTCGGTTCATTTAGAGTTTGTATCTGTTGTCTGGATGATGAAGTGTAAGGTTTACAGAGGAAAAAGCAGATCCAAGCTTGCTGTGCCCAGGGGAAGTTTGAACCCAGGGTAGATGTGTTACCTAAAGCACCGGTTCCACACCAGTCCACCAGATGGAGACAATCAGCCAACACTATGACTTTGCCACTTGCTGTGAGCCGCCTCGCTGATTTTGGAGTCACTTTTATCGATTCTCTGGATATTGAGTTGATAAACTGATCAGAATCAGGGAAAGAACTTCTCTTAATGCTCAGCTTAGCCGTACATCTGTCTTCACTTCGTGCCTCTGTGTTACAAGTCAAAATTGCTTCGTGGTATACTGTAAACGTGTTGCACATGTTCGCCAAATTTTAGGGGGGGGTGCATGCATGATGCGATCATCACCAAACCCTTGTGTTTGAGTCTTTTGTGGTCGTGTCATAGGCTTGTAATGTTAACACTTTCTCTGTAATATTAGATATAGTGGTACACTGTGTCCTGGCATTCTATTCATCTCACTTGGATAAATAAGTATTTAAAAAGTCAACCACACCATATGTTTAATGACTACTTTCCATACAGTTTGCTATGGAATGTTAGCCATGTTAGTAACAAAATCACAATTTAATGCCAAATATGATTGTGCTCATTAATAAGCTATGATCTTCAGCTTGCTACTAGTGTGAAATATAAAGCTCTTACACCTCCAGTTTACATCACTGGATGGGCCCGGTTTCTCCAAAAAGTCAGGTGATAAAAATAAAAGTTTATCACTCGGATGCTTTTGGGTTGTCGGGACCTTTCTTTATGCTGTCCTGTTATTAAATCATAGTGTGTAGTTATACAGACATCTTTTTTTAACAAAAGAACTGAAACATAATTCTGAACTGGCACCGGTGTCAAATGGAGCCTTGAAGTGTACTTGTTATGAAGACTATCATTGTGAAGCTGCCTTACAGGCCAATATGTAAATGGTATATGGTATCTATAATATGGTACTTGAAGCATAGCTATAAATAAATATATATATACAGTATGTATCCTAAGGTAATTACTTTGGTACTAGATGTGCGGTGTGATGACTAAGATGAATAACATACATTAAGCTTTAGAGATGCTCTGTACAGTGTGAGAGCAGCTAAGGATGCTGGGTATTGTAGTTGCGCTACAGATGTGAAGAAATCGTAGATCTAGTTTTGGACCATCTATTCTTTTGGCAATTGAAAGGTTAATAAAAGTGACACAAACAAAATAAACTATTTTTCTTAAATCCCTGTTGGTTATATTTATTGACATTCTAGAAAAATAATTCAAACGGATTAGTTGGGGATATTAAACAGACAGACTTCAAGTAAATCATCATGCTTTCCTCTATTTCAAATTAGAAAAAACAAATGAAGAACTTGAACGCAGGGTGCTTCCTGAAACAACGTACAGAAATATGCAATAGTCTCTTTGAAGTGACCTCACTCAAGTGTCACTCTCAAGGATAACGTCCTCAGTCTTAACCCAACCTGATGAGAGTCAGAATACTTTTGACGCAAATAAGGCAGGAACGTGGCGCTCGGTCATGATGGTTGAGGTTGGGCAACAGCACGTTTGGAGACAACGCTCTCGAACTCCTCTCTGCTCAGAAGGTTCTCCGTTATGGTCTTGCTCTCCTCAAACTTTGGCAAGATGACGGCAATGTATCCTTCAGTGGACGGCTGTTTAGATTTGACAGACAAAGCACGATTAAAGCATTTGTTTTAATAAGATTAGATGACACTTCAATGATTGTGGGAGAGAAACTATAACAGCCATCTAGTTATAAATGATATTGAACAGTGTTTTTTTTATTTTATTATATTCAAACAGTGTTATAGAATGTATGGCCTTATTGAAGAGGGCATTCAATTATTAGAAATACACATGATTAAATTCACAGGACAAACGTACATGCCAATCGTAACCAGGTGATAACAGTATTGTGTAAAAATATACATATTTACCTTTTCCAGCAGGAGAGTAGGTGTTTCTAAAATACTCTCATTGACCTCCAGAAGACGGCCCCGGATGCAGCTAAAAAGAGATGACAGAACGTGTGACTGATCATGACACACAAGCATGTGGAATGTATGGCTAGAAAAACAAAACTATTATCTCACCTGTAGATTGTGTATTCAGTTTCATCCGTGCATGTTATCCTGCACAGAGGTGCGAAATCAGTAAGGAACTGACCCCCCTACAATGGGAAAAAATGATTGACGGGCATTTCAGGCCAAGCTGAAAAATAATGAAGTGGAGCTGCACAAGTACACATTCATGGACATAGACAACAATCATCTGTAGCTTTATTAGTCATTGTGAATTTACCCGCTTAGACTTCCCAGACACTTTGTTGTTCAGCCGACTGCAGCAATTGCTGATCTGGTAATTGATGCTTTTGATTGCCCGTCCATTCTGAAGGATTGGGTGAGTCTCCGCTAACGTGACAACACATAGTCTGCAGAAGAAACAAAGAGAAAAGTGAGCCGTAAAAAAAAATAAATAAATACAAAGTTAATATTATCAGTAAGTCACTTATACAGAGTGTGGATTATATCAAGTTAAAAACATTGTAACACAAATCTTTGAGGTCAATTTTGGATGAACATTTTAATTTAAGGGGGGGTATCGACACACACACACACACACACACACACACACACACACACACACAGGAAATATAACATCAATTTAATAAACTGGGTGACCAGAAAGCTGTACTTGCTTGTTGTTTCACTGGTTTACGTTAAATATGTATGTAAAGGTTTTTTTCTGTTAACTCAAAAGCAATATTTTAGAAATCTTTTTATCAATATAATGTAATACTACCACAAAACCATACTGGTACAAGACAAATGTCTCAACAATACTGAACAGTATAGTAGTATCTGTCCCATGAAATAGCAGTTTATATCGAATAACCAGTTATTAAGATGACGTTTTGTAATTCTCACCACCCGGTGTGGATTTCACTGAATACCCGTCACGTTGCTCCTGTTAACATTACCTGTTTGAATGCTGCAGGATGCAGTGGTCCTCACACGGTTTCCCCTTCATATCTGAATAAAACAAACAATACACTCAACGTATTTGAATTAAATGCATTATGCTGGCTAATCGAATCAAAATGTAATGTTAGTGCTCTTTCCCCCACGAGATGTCAGGTCCTACTAACGTTAGCTCATTTAGCCACCGGGCAGCTAACGCAGCATGAGAAACAGTTCAGTGATGTTATTTACCGGCTCTGAACCATCGCGTGTAATATCGCTCGATAACTGAAGGCGCCGTCGCTTCTGTGTCTTTCTGCTCCGAACAGTCCATGACAAGTATTCACAATACAGGTTGTAGAACAAAAAGACGAAAGAGTAGATTTACAGAAATGTATACACTACTTTGTGACGGACATCATTTGGCGTGACACTGGGAAGTCCGGTCCGTCCCTAGAACGAATCCGACAGTTTTAAAAGGAAAAAGGTTCCGGAGATTATTTTCGCCTCTTTGAGTTTGTGAATTCGATAAGAAAGCTTTCACTTTTAAAATGACAATGTAAACTTGAAAATGAAAATGTAATTCCACAATAACAACATGATCATTTTCCACATATGTGTTATTTGGGTAAAAATTAAAACTATTGATCTCAATAGGTAGAGCTTTCCATAGCCTGGGGCTCTAACCACTCTTGAGATTATCTAAATTCACCTACTTAGTAGTAGTAGTAGTTCAATTGTTATAAAATTGCATTTCCGTTTTAAATAATGCATGCCTAAATGGGCCACAGTGTTAATATCGCATTTACATTTTCAAATTTGAATTAACATTTGAATAGTCCACTGGATAAAGAGGGGACAACTTTGAGAATTAAATATCAAACAGCTTTTACATTTTATTTTAATACAGTCATAGAACAAAAGCCACCCAATGAATTATTGAATCGATCTGAACAGGGTTGAATCTCGAACTGCTGTCAAATTCACACCAGCCTTGAGGACATTTTGAATGTCTGTGTTAAAAATGTTCCCATTAGCGTTTTGTGGGCGGTGTAGCAGGGTCATGTTCATGCTGTTGTGTAAGCTGTGTTGCTACCTGGGACACATTTTGAGAGCAATTTTCACTTTGCCCACTAGATGTCCAACTACCGCTAAAAACTGCAGTAAACTCTACAGTCAATGTGATTTGACGATACACTTTCAAACTCCTCAGACAACATCAAAGTTTATTCAAATGCAAATCCTCTGCATGATGTGGGTGCATCTCCATATATTTAAACTAACATAGTATCTCCAGCTAAACATTTTCACATTTGATTAAGATGCATTTGTTTATGTGTAAACCAGTTAAACAACATAATATAGTTGTTATAAGTGATTGCATAGTGTCTGTGATCAACCGCTCAATTTTTGTGCTATGTGTCATTTTTTTTTCACTTCGCTCTATTGATTCTCCCAGATGTGCGATACATATTTAAGTATGTTGAGTGTGCATCCGAGTGGATTATGTAATGAAGAGGTCTGAGAGAGAAGGGAAGCAGGAGTGGATCTGTGAAATCGCCGCTCTCTGACCCAGACCAATCACATACTGAATGCTTAGTGAACATTTTACAGGGATTGGCATTGGCATTGGCACAATGACTTCATCCTGGTCACATAATTGAGAGAAAGAGATCACAAGAGAGAGAGAGAGAGAGAGACAGAGACAGAGAGACAGAGAGAGAGAGATTTGTCTGATATTTGGGGGCACAATGAGTTTTCCATGCTCACCACTACCAAGACTTGGAAAGGTTTGCTGTCAAGACCCATCGTAATGAGTTTTTCCATTACTCCTCCGTCTGTGGTCGGCCGTGGTCTGCAACTAATTCAGAGATGAAACACAAAACCATTGTGCAAGCAGTGGACACAAAGGGAGTATCTCATGGATATGCAATTTTGCATCAAACATTTACATGCAATAAACATGGTCATCCTTAAAATATGAGTCAACAGCTTTTGCTATGATTTGACTTTTTCCAAACAAATCTTCCACAGCAAGATATACAGCTGCTGCTACTAAAACAACACCCAGATGCTAGATAACAAAAGTTAGGATTTATCATTAGATCTTCAGAATAGATTCTGTGAAAGTTCATGAAGAAGTTTCACACGAGAGGGAAAAGGGCCCTGTATATCCTGATAACTATATGACCTCCATGGATATTTGCATTTGCAAGAGTGTGTATGTGCATCTGTGTTTATCAATCCGTTCATTGCCTACATGTATCGGTCAGTCTGTGTACATTCCCAAGCCTTAACTACATTTTGTTGGAATGCAAACATTGCTCCATCTCCCCCTCTTCAAGACTTGACTTCCAGGTTCACTGGCTGGTTCTTTAGACAGGCACTCTGAGTGTCTCCAGCTGCACATCCTTCTGTGTGTGTGTGTGTGTGTGTGTGATGCAAGCGTATAGCTCCACGTCAGCTGCTGAATCGAGCAGCCCTTCTTCTCTGGCCCGCTGTTTGCCTTTTTGGCTTCAGCAGTCTCTCCCTCCACATTGAAGTCGTCCGGCGTATTTCCGTAGCCGGTCTTCAGTGCCAGAGGAGAGCCTGATAAGGGAAGAGAGAAGCTCTGACCAAGTGGGTGACGGGACTGTAGTCATAACAGACCAGAAAATTCAGGATTTCCTGGTTCGTGGCGCATAGTTAGCTGGGTTTTAAGACGAGATATTTCTGTGTTGTAATGCAGATGGAAAGAATTATTGCGTGAGGGGGATTTCTTTTTCATAAGTGGTTCATGCAGACAAGCTATCAGTAACACTTTCAGATACTCCTTGTTTATAGGTGGAGAATTGCATGCAATCCAGGCTTGCCCACAGTATCTCATCATTTGATAATGTCTAGGAAATTAGACACAGGCATGCTGCAGTTAGAGATGCTGCTCATCTTTTTCCGGGAAAGCATCGCGCCTGCATTTGCCATTTAACAGATTGAGTCGTAAGCTGCCAAAAGGCACATTTAAAACCTGTTTGAATCACTGGTGTGTATGGCCGGTGTCAGTTAAAGAACCTTCATTTTTGGGTAATGTTTTTAAAGGGCTGACAATTGTGATTTTGTGTCACAGGGCAATAATTAGATTTGACTCAGACTGTGATGAGTGCCCTGGTGGACTGATCAACAAATACGGTGTTGCGGTGATCTGTTTTCTCTCTTTAAAAGTTTAGATAGGGAGTCATAAAGGAGTCAGGCTGCTGTCAGTAAATGCGCTGACATGCAGCAGCGCAGAAACCCCAGGTGGTTCCCGCTACAGTAGGTGTCTCCCGGACCACATTTTGCCACACACACAGACTCATAGGATGAAAAAGAATGCCAGCCACACACAACCACGGCTGGTAAAGATACAGTTGGTTTGCATTAGCAACACAGTGCTTGAAAGAGAGCATGACCAGAGCCAGTAAAGCAGACATCTGCCTCTGATAAAGGATACAAAAATCAGTATCTTAAATATTGGTGTGTGTCTACAGGAACTGTGTGAGTGAAATGGATGAGGTGTCCCTGGCTGCAGAGCAGGACGCTCCTCCCAGAGCCACAATGCTGGTTTTAATGCGAAACCATAATGATACAAAAATGTGTGCAGGCCAAATAAGTCTCTCATTGTTCCCTTAAAAGGACAGCCCGATAGTGGTGTCACTTCGACCTCTGAAGTGCTGAAACAAGAGGAAGTGGTCAAAACTGGTTTGTTTCAACTGCTGCCTGTCTGTTTGGACACTACTTCATTTTTAACTTGGTAAAGGCAATCTGTATTTTCTTAGTGATCACAGGTTAGTTAAAAAATGAATTGTCCAATGATTGAGAGACTCTAACAGATCTGGTTACATCAAACACATATTAGTTTCTATCTTAGCGACTCATCCATCATTACTGCCCACCTTGTCTTCTTTCAGCTCACTGACTACGAAGTGCTTGAGTCTCATTCCTGATGCTAATTTGTTGATAGCTGTCATTCTGCTTGTCATTCTCCAGTGACGAATGGGGTTCAACAGGAGCTCAGAGCAATGGAAAGAACATGCACACTGTAAGACGCCAAATCCATATGCACACACAAGGAATAATTTACAGGTATTAAGAGGTTACAGCTTTGGATTCTTACCGCATGCTTTCTCTTGCAAAGCAATAAAATTTAACAGCATGTTTTTATGAGACACTGAAAGGGATATATGCATATATATTAAGTCACCAACTGGGCTTCTTAAAACTGCACGGTGCTTGTTTTAATTATTTGTAAGAAGCCACGTGGCAAACATCTCCTCATGGAAAGTGAACTTTTCTCCAAGAGGAACTCTCCACGTCTTGTTTTCTTCTTGTAGCGTAGCAGCAGGCAGGATGCTCTGAGCTCTAACACAGCTGGCGGTTGAATGACAACGGAGCCAGGTTGTCCCTTTTTATCCAAATGTCCACCCTTCAACTGCTTCCTTGAAAAAAACTCCTTCATGGCTCTGCTCTGCCTGACTGAAGCTTTCCAGATTTATATGGTTGTTTTCTTAAAAAATATTAAAAATTTTTCGCCATTTAAATCGGTTTCAAAGCATTTCGCTGAGGCGTTACAATTATCCTGTATTGTTAAAGTCTATCATGGTCACTCTATAAAGCAATATATATTTATACTCTATAAACTCAATACAAGTTTCCTTTTGCAGCAATTACAAAGGTAATTGCACAAACCTGTAAAATGTCAACGTAAGCACACAAAAACACAACTTTGCGTACCCATGCAATTGTTTTGTAACTCAACTTTCCTTGTCTCATTTTTTGTTTATGTTACCTAATATGGTAAAATGGTATTTGTGGGCTCAATGAACGTCTCCGCCGCATTCCTCAGTAGCTTGAGCAAGAAATGGCTTGAGAAATGATAGCAGACACAGATTCAGCAGGTCACATAAGAACACTCCATTCCTTGGCAAAGATGTGGACGTTTGGAGCTTTTTTTGTATGTGTTCGGTTTTTGTTTGTTTTCCCCTGGCTCCCTGGACATGGTTGTGTGTATTGGCTGAGGCTCTTGGCTCAACATTAAAGCACATATTCTCATGTGCTGGTTTCTGAAGCAAACACTCAGTGTTGTTGACAGTGCTCTTTGGGGGAGGTTGTTTCACAACTTTGGTGAAATTTGTCAAAAGCAGCCTGAAGTTAATGTGTTGATTTTCTCTGGATAATTTTACCGTTACCGTCATTTTTGCACTAGTGGATGAATTCTCCGTCTCTCAGAAAAACAAAGTCATAATTATCTTTCAATCTGCAGCTAACATATTTGTGTCCATCTTGGGTCTGTATTGACACAGTAATCTAGAGTGATTTCTATTCTAAACCTGCAGGAAGTGGTCAGCGATAAAGATATCCTTTGCACGAAAATTAAGATGAAAGCAACAACAGCTCATAGAGTGAGGTTTTCTGACAGGAAACACATTCCTAAAAACAGAGTAAAAGAGAAAAACGACTCATATTTTATACAAGAGCTGGTTCGAAAACCCTACAACATGATCACCAAGCCATCTCCACCTTAGCACAGTTTCATGTGATGAGGACAGAGGCAGGAGGGGGGAGAACAGCATTTTTAATTAACAAGAAGGGAAAGTACAGAATGCGCTTTTGATTGAGCAAAGCAAACATTTATCTGGATATTTTTCGGCTGCAGCGTGCATACAGTGCAGAAGTGGTGAAGTCAGAGGTTTGTACAGCTGGGCCTCGGGATAGAAGCTAGGATGTGGCGAGATTAGAAGAGCCTGATTAACAGAAAACAGACTGGAGGAAGAAGAATATCCCTCCATCTCTTAATTTCCTTCACTTATCCCACTCTTCTCTCCATGCCTTGATACCATTCCTAGAGAAAGAGACATGGACGGGCCTCAACTCTTCTTCCTCTTCTTGTTTTAGTTCAGGGGGGAAAAAAATCCAGGGCCAGAGGGCATTGTTCAAGTGTTTTCGTTGGTGCTTACATCCACTGTAGCATTAAACTAAATGCACATGGAGAACAAAGGGACTCAACTTGGAATCCCTTTTGTCTCATCATGAAGTTGTCTTGAACCCAGGGTTTTCTCGTAAGACAGCATGCGCTGTGCGGGTGTCTGGTTTTGTTGAGTTTGAGCTGTAATTCTTCCGCTCTTCATCCCACTGAGTGCCTTTGTTTTTTGCCAGATGTGTGATGATTGGCAGGATGAGGGAGTATTGTCTTTCTTATCTGCATTGTATCACAGTATCACAGTAAATGCCTGAATAATTTCAGGGAAGAGTTGTTTTTTGTTGAATGTTCCCAGATGCATATATGGATGAACAGATCGGTCAAATGGAGTTTATTTTGAATACCTAAGTGGCCTTTGAAGAAAACATATTTCCCACAACTTTGCTTTTATTCTGATTCAAGATAAACTCTCAAACTTCACCCGTTGCTTCACCCCAGATATAACGCACATCTGAGTAAAACTGTCAATGAATTACATCAACAGCAAATTTTACCCAACGGAGCACCACCTTCTGTCTTTTTTAGACTGGTTCCACGTGGTCTGGACTCCAGAGAGGTGCCTGATGTGAGGAGTGAGTAATGCTGACTGGACAGCAGTCTCTGCATGGTGCATCAGTAGGCTACCAGATGTGTGTGTGTCTGCATCACTGATTGTTCCACTTAACACACACACACACACACACACACACACACACACACATTGCTTGACTTCTCTCCCAATCTGTTACTTAATCTGGTATTTTACGAGACTTTAAAACCAGGAAACACACGTATTAAATGGTCCTGCTTTTTAACTGAGATGAAAGTGCTGACCTCGTCTCATGCACAGTTGACTCATGAATTAATAAAAACAAAAAAATTGGATTTGCAAAGTTGCCAACTTTGAGGATTTACATCAACTTCCTGAAACTGATCTAAGACAACACACCTTTTCTGTGTATTCTAATAGGCAAGTGACCACAGTAGCCATGTTTCACATCCACTGATTGTAACTGGTGATGATGAAAATGCCTCCTAACATATTGTAAAGTGATTTTTTCATTTGAATATTCTTAAAGGCCTGAAGAAACAGGTTGTTTAGTCGTAGAACATACATGTATCTAACATTTCCTCACTGACTAACTGACTCTGCTATGCTTCTGCTACTATTCTCTGACATTTTTATCGTGGTAAACTGTCTGACTCAGATAAACCAGCAAGGAACAGAAAGCTATAGATAACAACAAATGCTGCTCTCTTTATTTAGGCCCAAGTTTATTTTTTCACATTCTGCTCTTTGGGGTTAGCGGTTCAAAATGCTTAGGTCAAACTCTTAAAAACAGAAGAGGAAGTTGCTCAGGCACAAACAGGAAAGTGCAAGAGGGGAGTTGGTTTTAGATTCTTCTGGCACAAATAAGTATTCTGCAGTGCTGATAAATGTGTACTGTTTGCATTCCTCTATCACAGATGTTATCTGTTATCTTATAAAATAGCAGGTGTTAAGTCTTTTAATGAAAATGTGAAATGAGTGAGAATGTCACACTGGCAGTAGCAGACATACAGAGGAAGTTCAACATACATCAAAAGTCCGGCTTGTTTCCGTAAACATTTTTTTTCCTCTTAGGAATAAATTGTGAATCCCTCAGTGAGGTTTATCATTTTCCAAATGATTATTTCTTCTGCCAAATATTTTAGACTTGAAGTTGCACTTTCAATTATTCAAATAACGATGTTTAATGTGAAAGTATGTCGTGATGACAAACCCACTGCGACCTATCTCCCATCTTCCATTAGCTCCACGGAAACGTAGTGTCTTTCAGCGCATTGGTTTGGTCTTCTGGTCTGCACCTTCACGGTTTTGGTTCATTCCAGTCGCTCTGCATAATGTCAGCTGCAGCAGGCAGCTGTTTTTATTGAAAGCTCTGATAAACCTTTGCACTACCTGCCCATCACCAAATGGCTAACAGACAAAGTTACCGAATGGTGTACACAGTGGAGCATTTAGTAGATAAAGAGCCAAACATTTCCCTCTGGAGTTGGTGGAGACCAAAACATTGCTAATGCTGCTTTATATCTCCTGGATTTATAAATGCTGTTTTCTAAAACATTTTCCACATCAACTTTACCATTTATAAAAATGTCAAAGTGGCCAAAACAAGCAAACAATGCATGCCTAAGTTGGTGTCACAGCCATTTGACTGTATAATATTTATTAAGAACAGAGGAAAATAGTTTGAAAGCCACTAATACTCATACACATTAATATTAGCCAACAATATCCATAGCATTCAGGCCTCCTTGTCATTGTATTTCATGTGCAGAATACACATCAGAGTTCAATTGCACCATCTTCCAGTTCAACTCCATAAAGATACGTCTTATTGGCTGAGTCAAAGTGTAAGTGATCATGTAATTTGTGTTATCTTTAAAGTATTTGAAAGTGCTCACATTAGAAGCTATCACACTGCAATGTTTGGGATGCTTAAACACAAACTTTGTTTCACTGCCAACAGTAGAAAGGTGGTGGACTTCAGAGAAGGAAGCGCTGTGCTGCCTTGCACTTGAAGGTATTCCAGTTTCTTGAACCTCTCTCTAGAAGTCAGCTTCATAGTCAATGTTTCCGAGGTCGTTTTCAGGTAGAGCATAAAGAGATTTACTCTTTTTCTTCCTGCTTTCTGCTCTCGTCTGCGCAGGGTTCTGACTCCCAGAAAAGGACAGGTAGGCAGCGATGCTGTTTCTGACTCCGTAGCTCACCATGTTGTCACTGCGGCCGTCTGTGCTGACCAGTTGTCTCCTGTTAAGGGAGAAGATGGACAAACAAATGAGAACATAGCATCTTATTTTTTACATTTTCTTGTTCACTTGTGAAAAAAATATGAAAATAATGTACATCGTCTCATGGATTTCGCAATCCATCCATCACAGATCTGCTTGAATATCTGTATTCAATAAGGACTAGTTAATTCATCAATTAGCCAATTGAAAGAAAATAAATTTTGATCATCGCTTAATTGTTTTAGAAATATTTTAAGAGAAAAATAACAAACATATCTGGTTCCAGTTTCAGGATTTACTGCTTTTCTTTTTTCTTATATGATAAAAAATTTGGAAAGACAAAACAAGCAATTTTAAAAAGTCATGTTGGACTGAAATTGTAATGGTAATTTGTCACACTTATCCATGTAATACGCAAAACAATTACTTGAATATTATTTGATGAATTATTTGAAAATGTTACCAGCAGATAACTCAACATAATATCTGATCTTTGCTATTTGGACTTACAATACGAGACCAGTAATCAGATGACACCTAATAAGCTACCATCTACATAATACTGTCATGCAGACAGATTCAAGCTGGTACATATCGTCCCAGAGAATGTACCTGTCTATTTTCTTCCAGTCAAAGTTCCGTCGCATGACTACAGGTGGAGCTCCAGGAGATGCGTCTGATGGAGGGGTCATTCCTGACAGACAGGGGGAGGTTAACGCACAACACAGGCCATCTGCAAAGTCTGAAAAAGGCGAGGATAGAGGAAGTAAAACACTGCCCGTAAGCTTACAAACAAACAGAACACATTTTGCATAATTTGCCTTTGCTACTTTCACACTCTACTGCTCAGGCAGAAACACAAACCAAACTTCATCCATATTGACCAAGAATATGTTCACTATTACAGCAATGTTCGCTAAGTATGCACCAGTACAGAGCATTCATATTTGTATCTCATTTCCTGTTTTGTTATCAAAAATCTCCTGTCAGAGCAGGAAATGCATTGAAAGTCGCTGATAAGAAAGAGTTCTATATTAAGAAGATGATGAGTTATTGTCAGTGCTTAAGTGCGTGAGATTGACTCTTTGTGTGCGTGTGTATGGCTCGACATGTTGTGATGCTTGTTTCCTTTTTGGTTTGTTTGGAACACTCTGTTTGTTTTTTTATCTATGTGTTCTTGCATGCATCCACCCACCACAGTAGTGGTTGATCATATCTTCAAGGCACTGGAAAGTGAGTCGAGGGGAGATGTAGTACCAGCTGTTGTCCAGTCTGAAGATACGATAATGCTTTACGATCCTGTGCTTCACTGAGAGCGAATACACACCTGAGGGTATGACACAGAAATATTTCAATCACGACACCAAGCTACTCTGTTTTAGAAAACAAACACACAATGGCATCATGTCAATGCAATTCAGCCAGAACCCCAAAAAACGTCAATAACTATTTACTGACTCGTATTGAAAGTGTTGTGACAATGTAAAAGTAGAAGTAACGTGAATGTCTATCCTTTACCGCCGAGCGCATCTCCTTCCATGCATAGTCACTGTGGATCTTTGCATTATGAGAACAGAAAAGATTCAGATCACCATATGACCACACTTTCTTGCAGAGAGTCAGATGAGAAGATTGACACGACTCGTTCATCTGTTTGTAAAGCTGGAGTCAAGCGATGGTTCGCTTAGTTTAGCATAAAGACTGCGGAACAGTGAAAAGTTAGCCTTTTCACTGTCCAAAGGTAAAAACAAATCTGCTTACCAGCACCTCCAAAGCCCAATAATTTATGTATTATTTAATCCAAAAGTGTAAAAACATTAGGTTAGGTGCCAGATTATTTTTTGGCTGCTTTGATTCTTGACTTCTGACTATTTTGAACTCACCCTCAGCAACAAAGTGAATAAGCATATTTCCGAAAACAGTAATTTGAGCTTGTCCTTTTTTATTTTTGAGACGGAAATGATCGAGCAAATGGTAATGACGTGCATCAAAAATCCCCTGCCAAAAATTAGATGCATGGGCCTGAACACTGTGGTTCACCCAGGTCTGAACTAATTTTAGCCAACGTGATAATATCTCAACTGTTTTAAATTACGTCAAATTCCCTAAGAATCCTCATATCCCCTAAGAATGTATGTGTTCAGGTGGAAATATCAGTGAATACCTTGTTCTTGACTCATGATTTTGTTAAGACAAGAGCTCATCTTGGTTGATGGTGAACTCTGCTGTACTCACCTCTCTCCCTGGCGCACTCCCTCACCAGGAAGGAGCCCACTCTGTTCCCAGGTAGACGGAGCAGGTCTTCGGCCTTCTGCCTCTCGACCCCCTCAAACAGCCAACTGACCAAAGAAAAACATGCTATGAGTTGAAGATCACATCACACACACGTTTTTAAACCTTAGCAGTAAACTCTCATTCTTATTAATGACAACACCTTCAAATCTACACACATGACAATCTTGAGTTACTAACATCTCCCGCTTCCTGAGATCTTAGATAGTGTAGTGGAAAAATATATTTCAAATTCAAAGAGATCAACTCGGCTGATTTCAGAGGACAGTGTCGGTATATTTCTACTTACCCATGGTATACTTTTGCCGCATGGCTGCTGGGTATGTAGTTCTCCTTTTGTGTTTGGACAGAGCATACTCTCCACCAGTAAGCCTCCCTGACCACGAAGAAGATAAGAGGAATCAACAACTGACCTTTTTGTGTGAACACTTCTCTTTACTGCAAACTTAGAGCTTCAAGTTACAAATTAGACTTTATTTCCTCATAGTTGTTTGAGATCTTCTGTTTATCAAATGTACATCTGGTTGGGAAAACTGATTATTTTTTAATCAAGAATGTAAAAACATGATCGTACTGAGCGAGGAGTCTGAGCTTCTCCCCCATCCTGTAGATGGGCTCGCTGATTTCAGGCGACGGGTAGTCCTGAAGCACCACCACCATGTCATCCTCCGAACCTGCCAAGCCCGATGATTATAGCGTTTACAAACACAGCCACATGCTGATGCACAGACGTCATGATTTGGAAAAGTCCAAAGATGTCTAAACCAAACCTCTGAAATGATTGCCAATTATTTTTTATGTAGATGGAGACCATGACATCTCACCGCTGCTCTCAAAATTGCTGAGAGCAGTGGTGAAAGATTTCACTCCGCACTATGCGAAATACTATTATGTTATTTTAAAAAAGAAAAAAGAAACTTTGAGAGATCTTACCTTTTAAAGAGCTGTCTGTGTTGACTTTGCCCGTGGAAGTCTCGCCTCGCATGATATTCCCCATCCTCCAGATGGACCAGACTCCAGCCTGAAGTCAGGGCAGAGAGACAGGTATACTATTAATGTACTAGCCAATTTCCACTCATCTACCAATCATTCTTTTTTACACCACTAAACTTCTTTGCTGCTGCACCACCAGCTTTTTAACTTCCTATAAGCTGACCAGTTAACGATCTCAACTGACACACTCTTTGCACAATGGGGAAGCTGAGACTACATCAGATATCAATCAATTTTCCATTGCGACACCGAACTCTGTGTACTGACAACTCACAGCTATCAATGATCCTCAATTCATATATTGTGAAATACTGTTCCCAAGTTGCAAAGCGCAATTCATATTTCATAATTTGCATTATGATGCATTTCAACAGATCCTGCCCCAGTGACGATACTCTTAAGTAACATCACACAGTGTTCAGTTGGCCGATATGGAGAAATAACTGTCCCGTCAATACAGAAATATGACCTTACGTGTAGCAGAAGCAGTTGATGTGATGAAAAGGTAGACACCTACCTGTGGAACCTATAGCTGGCCTGCTGTGATGGCATCAAGTGTGGTGAGAGATGTGAGAGTCCAAACGAGGCATGGTGGGTGCCGTGGAGTCCAGTACTAGAGAAGTACCATGTTCTTAAGAGGTAACAGCAATGACCTGTCACGGAGTGTGGCGACAGCGCTGCATCTGACTGCAAACTCACTTCCTGTATTGAAATGAGGAAGAGGGCCAGCAAAAGTGTTGTTGAGACACACACAACAGATCATGGAACACATAACGGCCCTCTAATGGTGTTTGGAGTTACTGAAAGCAATACTGTGGGCTAATGTTTTTTGTTTTTTTATTAATCTACTAAATGATATGTTTGCTAATGTCTAGATCAACCCAAAACTATTTTATTAATGCCCAATAAGCTGTTGTTTAGAGATAGTTTCTGCTGTTATGGAAAGCACAAGAGCTGTAATGATTAGTCAGTTGATATTTGATTAATAATTTGAGTTATTTATACCATACCAAGCATGACCTTGTTCCAGCTTCTCTGATGTAAAGATGTAAGGCTTTTCATTGTTGTAGGTGATAGTAAATTGAATGTCGTTGGGTTTCGGACTGTTACCTTGGGTTCATCATCTTCTGACATTCTATGGATCAGTTAAAGTAAAACTCCAAACTCTTTTTAAACACACGAATATTGTATTTCTTGCTAGAGTTAGATGAGAAGATTGATACTACTTTCATGTTTCTACATTAAATATTAAGCTGCAGCCAGCAGATGGTTAGCTTATCTTAGAAGTAAAGCTCTCCACAGCGAGCTCTTTCCAACAGAAACACAATCTACCTCAGCACCTCTGAGAATGTAGTAATTAAGACCACAGGAAGTTACTGGTTCCTGGAAGATAGTGACTTCTTACTGGGACTTACAACTTGAAGTTACTGTTTTCCCTTGTCTCCAGGCGTTGTGCTATGCTAACCTAACTGGCCTCTGGCTAGTAGCTTTATATACACGGTACAAACACAAGAGTGTTATCAGTCTGCTCATCTAATTGCCAAAATGGAGAACTATACCTATGCTCAATTAATCAAAACAATAATTAGCAGATACATATGAAATAAATAATAAGTGTTATTTGCTGCCCCAAAGTGAATTAAAAGTACATTTTAACCATATTGTCAGTGAATTAAATAAGTTGAGATGTGCAAAAAGCAACAGTATTCAGACTCTCCTTCACAGCCGTAAGTGGCTGTGCTTAAGTTTTTTAACTATTTGTGTCATCAGTGGAACAAAACTGAATTCCTCTTTCTTAAAGTCCACCAGAAACAAAGAAGTAATTATATTTATTGGAACTGACATGTTTAACACAAGTTATTTTTAGTCTGTGAACTAGTTCTTTTTGGCCCAGAGGAAGTCAGCTTTTATCAGCTTTCATGCTCAGACACCCAGACATTTTATGTGACATGCTGCCACTGTGGTTATCTAAATGTGTCATGTCAAAGGTTAGGGATGGCATAGTGGTCATTTTCTGGTATGAAAAAGTATGTGCTAAACTCTTCTTAATCATAGCTATGAATACACTGGAAAACAATAGTGATTGAGACAGAAAGATAACAATAACGTCACTCTGGTGAATTTCTCATATTTCTATCTACAGAGGTGAAACTGGAAATGTGTTGGTCTTACCTTCAGCTGTTGTGTTTGGTGTCTGAAAGTATCACAGAATAATAAAGTTGAAGTTCAAACTAGGGAACGCAAACCCCTTCAGTTTCAGATGTATGACCTTCTGAGACCATTCATCATACTCTGTATGACATGTATATCTTTAAATCTTCATGTTCTGTGTCTCAGGAATCTATGGTATTTTGCATGATGTATTATAACCGTAGATGTTTGACACACTGCTGCTGATTTCACAGAAATGTTCAGTGGGGATTTTCCTTTGGTGTCTCAGGGTAAAGAAAGTTTTATCCGGACTTTCCTTTCCACCTTCACTCGTGACGAATGACAAACCCTTTCACTCCCTGTCTCACCCCTGCTTTCCCTGTGATTTATTATCTTTCATTCACATCTATTTAGCTTTTTTTCCCTCTTCAGCAGACATATATTTCTTATCTCAGCTCCACAAATGTGCTTTTTTGTATTTTAATCACAGTATTCTACCTCAGATCCCTTGTTACATAAGAATGTTCCTCTGTGCCACACTTAACTATTCTTAGGAAAACTTAGCTCATATATTTTCCATATTAAAACCTGGATCAGTCTGTTCCAGACCATTGGGCCTATATCTCCTGCCACCTTTCCTTTCTGTATGCAAGAAAACAAAAACTGAGAGAGAGCAAGCGATCAGTCTCACTATTAAAGTAAACTCATCTTTGGAGATTTAAAAGTAGATAAATAGGGCTATCATATAAACCCTTTTCATATTGGCGTCACTGTGGAGTTTTTAAAGTCTTATTAGTTGTAGTGAGAAGACACTGAGCTGTCAGTTCCCTTTGTTGGCTTCCTGCTGTGTGTTTGTGTGGGTGTGAGAGAGAGTCAGTTCTGAGAGACAAATATTCCTCAGAGGAAGAACACAGGAATTGTACGTCAAATCATCTCTAAACTGAACTGCAACACCTTTTCATTATAGGCTGTACCAAAGACTGTTTCTGCCAGTTGTAGAAAAAAAGCAGTTGCTGTAGCCTGGTGGGTGGTGGCTGGGGTCAGATGCCAGGGCTCTTGACTGTTGTGGCTGCAAGGGAGGAAGGAAGTCTTCCTCGTCGATGAAAATAAATACAAGGTCAATGTGTAGCTTGTGTGTGGTGACGGTGTAAAGAGCTCACAGAAAAGAATTTGCCACATTTCCTGTGGCCAGTTCTATTCATTTTTAGAACGTTTTTAAAGTTTGTATTCATTGGTGGATGTGTGAGAGGAACATGTCTCCGTCTTCTTTTGTGATCTTTTGGGAACTGTTGGTTCAGCCACGTTACAAAACAAATGAAATACAAAACATACCGTCTCACTCAACTTTTTCTTTTATTTACTGTATATTCCATTTGTCAGTGGTTTATTACCAATGCACCATATCGCAAAGGATCAGGATCAATATATCTAAATGACAGCGGTAGAAGAAGTAAGTGTATTATGTATTCAGATCCTGTATTTTAGTAAAAGGGTAAGTACTGAAGTTGTAAAGAAGTACAGTACTTGAATAAATGCATCAAGTTACAATTTCATGGTTAAATGAAAAACAATAACAAGGATTTCAAAGGGAAGAAATGGGAAAATGTACAGATATAACATGCAATAGCCACTGTGTAGTAAAAAGATGAATAGGTTTTTAAATATGTAGTATTCAGGCATAGAAAGCTATTACTTCACTCTGGATCATTTTCCCTCCTTGACTACACAGCTTTTTATTTTCAGCTTTTATATTCAGGTCCTGGCTCATGCCACTGACTGAGCCAGGGCCATGTGTTTCTTTAAATGAGTCACTAGCAGACATAACGCAGGTGAAACTAAACCAGTGAGGCCGTTCACACTGGCCTCCAGCTCAATGGACTCTTTGTTACATAGCGATGAGAAACGTATTACCCAATTAGTTAAGGTAATTGATCGAGACTCCCTCCCATTTAAATGACCTGTGACGTTTGTTTATAATTGGATTAGACAGGTGTTTATTTGCCAAATGACATGAATAACGTCTTATAGACTATTCAGCTAACAAACAGGAAGAGATTAAATTATAAGCGGCCATTAAGCTGCCACACACCATCACCATTACAGATAAAACCATGAATTCAAATATCCTTTTTTTGTAGATCCACGTCTTCTTGAGTGAATGCAAAAATGCACTTGTAACAAATATTTTTGTTAATGAAATGTTCATAAAAACAGTGCAGCAGGTGTTTGCAGATGTTACGCTGGCAGTAAAGCTGTCAGAGAGTTTCCTGGCGTGTATAATTGTGAAAGAGGCCTGCATGATTGATGTCCCAGTGCCCGTTTATAAAACATGTTGGGAGAAGTCTAATCTCCAACTCGGAAGATGATGATGTGAAAGCACTTTTTTCCGGGCAATACAGTCTTTCTCTACCTCTTGTAAAGACAGATGCTCTCCGCCTGTGGCTAACGTTGGCCACAGTTGCCATCGGCTGTTGTGCGGCTGACTGGATGTGTTTGAACATTTCAAGGAAAAGCGACTTCCACGCCCTCTGTCTAAAATTACAAAATTACTGACTGTAAAGAATTCCCCTTATAATTTTTCTAGAAGTCTAAATCAAGATGGGTTCATATGCCTTTAAGGCTCTTTGGGAGGGAGTGGAAGCAAGAGAGGTGAGTGTTGTTATAATGAATCTTTCCACAGTTCCTCTTTTCCTAAAAAACAATACACATTCCGCATGCTCGGACACCGATAGTTAGTCCTGATGCAGTTGTTGTGTTCTCTCACTGTAATGAGTATATCTAAATACAGTCGCAAGACTGACCCCACTGGACTCCAAACCACAGGATTGAAAGGAACAGGGAGTGTGTTGCTATATGTGAGCATGTATGTATTCTGCTGCTTTTTAGCCACAGACTTAGAGGCAAAATTACATACATATAGAACCCCAAATCCTCCAACAGTTAGCCTGTAATCATTAATGTAATGTGGTCATTCAGGCATCTGGATCATCTTATCCACCAAACCATCTGCACAAGTATCCGCGCTCCCTGCTTCTCACACCCATTAATGCATTCCTCTCAGCTTTCAAAAATATTTCTCGAGAATAATCCTCAGATGACTTTTGTCAGCGGTGTTATTTCTGTTTGCTTATTTAGAGATTTAAAATAACTCTAATTACATAGCATTTTATCCACTTCAGCAGAATAAGTTTGGTGATTGTAATTGTAACATAATTGGATGAAATTGCATTAAGAAATCGGAGCCTGCACTTGCAAACCACATCATTATAGCAGAGATTGTGAGAGGAGAGAGCACAGGGCTGTAAAGTTGTCCTCTGTTTGGTCTTTTCTGGCAGGAAAGCAAAATTAAAGTTCTTCAATCAACAAAAACAACTTTTAGACCTGAAAACCTTTCCTGAAACATTCATTCCAGTCTGCTGCAATAATGAGAACTGACTTAATGGCTTTTTTCTGCAGTGTATTGGAAAATATTACTCAGAAGAATTACATCACCGACATGACTGTGAACCACG